TGACTTTCAAAGGTTCATTTAGAGCTCTCTAAAAAACAGTTTCAGGATTAAATTAGAGGCTGAACTGACGCATGCCAAAAGAAATAAAGGAAACCATGTCAAAAATACAGAAAAGAAAAACAATAACAATAGTAGTAATGATAAGTGGAATAAAAATTCACGGTGACAAAGCAAAAAGCCGAACAACGATCTTAGTAATTTTTAGATAACTGAAGTTTCAACTCGTTCAAAAACAACACTTTCTTACAAATACTGGCTCAAGCAACAACCAATAAACACTAACAACATATACTCGCAAATCTTCCTCAACTTATTTACTAGTTTCTTTTCGTAGCAAAAAACCATAAGAGCTAAAGAAGAAACTGAAATTAAAATTACTGTTAAAGAATCGTCCGTCATTTCAAAATCCTTGACAGTTAGTAATGACCTGCAAGCCATTAATGCTGAAGGCATTATATCACCCTCCTCCAGTATTCCACAAGCTTTCATTAAATCTCCGAAATGTACTGCTCCGACAAAAACGATATTTTTCTTCAGAGTGGGACTCACGTTGAAATGCTTGATCGTCCACAGTAAAGTTTTACCCATAAGAGCATTCTCGTTAATCAAATCAAAATGATCATCAAAATGTCTGTTTTTCAGATAAGGAACTTTGAAAAGTCTCTAAAAACTTTCAGTTTTAAAGAATTTTGCATCTGCCTTATGAACCTCATCAGAAATTGTTCAAAAAACTCCTAATGGCAGGATTCCCAAAAAGAAAAACCATAACCATTTCGTCATCATTATCATCAGCGACCTTTTCTTCAATGCCAACCTTATCGACTAAACTAACAAGTTTTTCTTCAGCAGTTAACTCAGTCCATTTTAAACCAGAATATAAAGCTAAAAAGTTCAACAACTTTGAGTCGAACAACTCTTGTTTCGTAATCAAGCTAGCAACTGCAGCCGCTCCTAGAAGAAAAAGACTACCAATACGACAAAGCAACAAGATATACGACGAAACAATAACCTCTTACCTCTGAAATTACCACTCGTTAAGAAACGATCAATAGCGAGACAAGCCGAGTGAACATTAAAAAAAACTCCGTAATTAACCTGCAAAGAAAAATGATTATAATTGTTTATAAGCAAAGAACAAAGATAATAGCAAATCTTTAAAGCATAAACGAAATGCAATTTCAAAAACAAATATTCCCTTACATCCCAAATCTCATAGACGTAAGGTTCGCTTCCCTAAAAATAAGTCTTTCTAGAATCACTTCACAAAGACTTGAATAAGCAACATAAAAACCAGTAACAGCAAAACTAAGAAGAAAAATCCAAATTTTTTTCACTTTGTCCATAACGCTAAACAGTGAACTTTTGAACAAGACCAGCGCTGTACGCCTTAAAATACATCTAAAGAAAAACTGCCCATAGCTTTCAAATCAGTGTTATCATAAGTGCTTATTTGCTAAGTAATGCTTCATCAACAACACTATCTAACTTCTAGTCTTTTCCAAAAATGGTTTCAAGTGACAGATCAAAAGTTGTCAACAAAATTAACTGGTTTGTATACACAAAAAAAAAAACTTTGAAGCGACATTTTACAATTTCTGAAAGGCCCCGATGTAGCGTACTAATATCACTATTATTTGTTACTTCACTGCAGACCTACTTACGGTTACCAAGCACTGCCGTATTTTCATGTTCACTAACATTTTAAGTTGTCTTATATTCGTGAAAGGAACTGTCTTAGCGAAACAGGAAGTAAAATCAATACCAATTTAATAAGACTCCCTAAGTAGCCTAATGATCAACGGTTGGGGTCTTCCTACCATAAAATATTAATTTTTTGGGACAAACAATGTCATTTGAAACCTCTGATGAAATGAAACTAAAACTGTTCACACCGTAAATAATAGAGGAACAACTGCTGTAACTGGTTGTCTTAACCCTTAAACGTCACTGAGCATATTCTTTATAAAGCATAAATCTGACGCTCCCTGTTAAATGACGACTGGATCTACCAGTATAAACTTAGTTACGCAAAAGTTACTTACTTCCACCCTTCGACTTCCACTCTGACGTATATTTTTAGCGCCCAAGCGCTGTACCTGGCTTCTAGAACCTATTCAGAAGCTCAACAACGATTAAACGTTGCAATATTTGGAACCAGAGCAATAACGCATATTCAGTTAAGAAGCCAACGTACGATAGATAAGTAATTTCAACTTAAAAAATTTTATTATGTACGCTTCTACCTATGTTGTTAGCTACTAAACCACGTTGTTGAAGCGTACCAAAGACAAACAAAAATGAGTACAAATAAAACATCATTAATGTAAGCTGAACAGTGGAAAGGTTAAGGGGTCCCGGAATAACAACAGGGAAAAGTACAGAACAAATGCTGAAGCAGTATTCTATACCACTGCTGTTGCAGACTAATGCCACTAAAAACTCACTTGATCATGAGCAATGTTTGATAAGACGTCCAAGGAACAACGATCCAATAAATATCGTATCGCAGCATACTCAGTCGACGGAAGTGCATCAGCAGCATTCTGCGAGTGCCTCAAGCAATACAAAATGTCAATTATATCATTCATCTGATCTTTCTCCGTCGCACCACACACTGCTATATCCACATCGACCGCACTACAATAAATCACCTCTCCTGAACCACTGAAACCCTAAAACTACAACTCCTACACATTCTTAAACTACCTGGGAATTACACTAGATGTGAACTTTTTATGAACCGCAGCGATCCACTCATACTCTCGTCCTCGAGTAAACTCCTCAATAACGGATTGGCTCTGTTTCCACTCATCATTCATTGAGAAGCTTGCAGACAAAACTCCTCTCCTCGCCTCCGACAACAAAGCTATCGGATTCCGAAGAAGATGCAGAGGAAGCCTCCGCCCATACATCAGCACAAATCCTGTTCATACAGCAAATAATCTGGTATTTATTGTACTAGCTACTGTACTCCAGAGGAAGTAATAAAATATGTAGTTAACATCTGGAAATAGGCCATGCAGGTTTGAAAAAGCAATTTATGAACAAAAGAATCTCATTTGAACATCAAACAAAGCCAAACCGAGAACGCGATCATGCCACTTTGAGGCTTACTCATTGCAGTAGTTTGATGCACTATAAAAGTAAATGGTATTTTGAAAAATTAATCTTCTCAATCGTAAACCAATTAGATAAAGTAAAATCACTGTATAAAGACGATAACAACGAGAGAATTGAAAAAAAATAAAATACTCTCGACAAACTTGAAAAGACTAATTTACGAGAAAGAAGCTATAATAACAAAAATAAATATGTAAAAAACAATGTTCTTATCAAGATGTTACGAAGTAATAAGTCATTATAATGAAACAAATGATTAAAAGCTCTGTAAGGTGCAAACTATCTGAGCATTTAAATGGTAGAAAAGAGTGATTTGAGATCAAAAAACTTCACATAAGACCTTTACCTCACCGAGGTAAAGGAGTTTGTACCTTTATAAAAGTTGCGGAGGGAGAAAAATATGTGGAACATGAAGAACTGACATTCTGTTTCGCTGTTGGATTTACTATTTCGATACCCTGAACAGGAGTAAAAGTGACACTCGACGCTGTACCGGCCGTTTTCGAACCACGGACAGAAGTTGCTCCACCTCCCAGGAGTCTCTGTCTTTCCAAAGATTTCTGTAGTTTCTGTGACATCCTGAGAAAATTTTAAACTAAGTTAAGATAAGAATTACTTTCTTTACAGAAACAACAAGAGTTGAAACCCACCTTGCACGAGTCTTTGGGTCAACTACAGCCGTTCGAATTCTTCCCCCAGACGATGGGCCACTGATAGCCTGCCCTAACGAAAATCCCACGTTATCCTGGATAACATCTTCCTGAAGTTCGCCAAAATTCATTCTATTTGCCTTTCGCCTCAGTTCCGTCAGTCCTAATCTCTCTTTCATTTTTCTAACACGGCGTCCTCCACGTTTTTTGCTAGCCTAAAAACCATAAACATCACTAAAAATCAAGAATTGCTTAACACCACAAAAGATCTCAAGATCAATTTCTTGATTTATGAGAACCCTTGCTTTAAAACCAAGTACAGTTAACAAGATAAACTAGTTACAAAAGAAACTAATAATACAAGTGACAAAACTTCCAGTCTACACCTAATAATAATTAATAACTAAAAGGAAAACCAACAAATAACTCACCTTGTCAAGAGGTTTTGGAAGAGGTTTCGCAGCTTTTATTGGAGGAGGTTCCAACATCTTCTCAATTTTCTGTTTTATTTGATCAAAAAATCCTCTACCTATAGCTCCATCTGATGATTCATGTAAAGAGTCCACTCGAGCAGCCAAAGTAGTTTTTGCCGACAATAGCCGTGCGACCTTTTCTCTGAGAGTTAAAAGCTGATAACTTGGGTACAATAGAAAACTCTACTTGAAATGAACTGACAAACACAAAGAAAGGGAGCAGGTAAACCTTAAGTCTGGAGGGACACCCTGAACAATCGGATGATAATAGAGAAAACCAGCATGCGGAAGAACAGCACTAGAACTAAAACCTGTCAATGTTTTTTTCTGCGCACCCAGTACAAGAACGTTGCATGCAGGCAATCTCGCCAACGGTGCGAGACCTAAACATCAATCTTGCTTCAGCACTATCAAACACATCTACAAACTTCATCTTTTTCTCTTCAGCTTGTAAATTCTTCCAAAGCTATCTCCTAAAAAGAATTTTTTGCCCTGGGAATAATAGTCGCGACCTTCATTTGTGGCCTTCTAAATAACGACAGGAAAACCAAATATCAATGCCAACTGGAAAGGTTGTGACACCTGCTGTATTTTTTATGACCTAACAAACTTTCACCTGCTCCTTCTCAAGGAATATTCTGCATAGAAAAAATAAACTCGAATTGATGTCAAATGAGTTTTGATAGCTTCTTCGGAATAAAATATTTCGTATCTTTCAAAGAAGGGATTTATCAGTCTTCCATTGGTCTTCCACGAAAGTGGAAACCGGTAACCAATATTAAAAAAAGCCACTCTTTAGAACGATAATCACCATAGTATTTTTGATGATGAGTAATAAGGAAGCAACAGAATATAAGATTTATAAGTCACACATCTAGTAATCACAATCTTGAACTGAATGACAAAAACTTTTTACCTCACAAAGTAAAAACAAACCTCCGGCTTTCGAAACAACCATAGCAGTAGTGCCAGCTCCCAAGATTTCACATAGGTTGGGAGCAATCAGTGACATTCGTGACTCAATCAAACGATACATATTAAGCCTATCCAGGTGCAGTTTTTCAGCCATTTCACATGCTTCAATGACAGATTCCAATTCATCAACTTCCAAAGGTTTCCCCTGAGTAGTGGAAGCTGTTACACTAACCACAATGCAAGTTGCTGGAGCAAGAATGTCACTATAAGTTTAAAAGATAAAATTCGGCGAGACACATATTAAGAATTAAAGCTGTCATCACCTCTTCAAAAAAGTACAAAAAGACTAAAGCAAGAACCTTAGGATTTGCTTATTTTGACCTTTGGTTGAAATATCGTTCCCGAGATGCTTAACAGTTGCCAGATATTCCAATGGATTAGGTACCAACGATTCTAGCTCTGGAAACCTTTTTTCGTACTTATCACGAACAAATTTATGTATAACATTGATTTCCTGGTCAATGTCTGCCGCCAGCTAAATTGCTCATGAATTAAGAATGATTTATAGGTATATTCTTCACAACTATATGTTCGTACCATGAAATAAAATTACAAGGAAGAACGCTTAATACGGTTCTTATACATTTTAAGCATACCTGAGAAAGTTGCACAATCAATTTGTACTGAGGGTCCGCCTCCAGCAGTGAACTAACTGGTGGTATCTCCTCCAACTTCAAGTGTTTCTCCATTGTGTCTACCAAATCCTTGTAACTAAAGATTATAATTATTACATGCTCCCATACATAATAGTTACCTGTGATAACGCACCAACCTCGGAATCAGGATCTCTTGAGATTTCAAGGTTGGTATGGTGCAGAGAGTACTTTTGTTGATGACAGATTAACTTTTCACTTCTTTCTTTTAGCCTTCAGAATTTTTTCCAGACTTAACAGTAGGTGTTTTTTTAAAAAATAACAAAATACAGTCTTTTGTTGGGGATTCATTATAACTGCATTAAATACTTTTGAGTTGAAGACAACTTCGCTACAGCATCAATCCGGTCATACGAATTAACACTAGAAAGAGCTTCATCAACTTCTTCTAACACAGCCTCCTTCATTTCTTCATCGCCAATCCCATCCAGATCATCTCCATCTTCTTCAAGATCGGCTAACAGCTCATCTGCCAGTGACATAGTGGTCTGCAAAAACAATGTAGTTTCAAAAGAGCTCAAATTTTTAACTGGTCGGGAGACGTACTTCCAAGTTTGCCGGTAAAGATGTGGACAAAAATGAGGAAACCCCAAAAATCCAAACTCGAATATAAGTATTAAATGAACGAGTACTTCACCACTTATATAAAAACTAGTGTAAGTTAAGAGCCATTATGTGCCCCGAAATTTGATGCATGTAACGCGCTTAATGTCAAAAGATCCAACGACGTTTCAAAATAAGCCTAATTAATATATATACAAGCCTTGTTTTGAATTCAAGCCGACGTTTTTTAGAGTTGGCAGCAGGCCGAAATACCGTAGATTCGACCTCGTCAGGACAAGAAATTTCCGGGAAATTAGTGTGACACGCAGTACAAGTTTATTCTTCGGTCTTTAAGACAGTGACATAGCACCATTGTTGCTGGGATTCCTCCGTCAAGAGGCTCTTCCCCTTTGGAACTTCTTAATTACAAATTAATCTGTTGCAAAAATGTTTGTTCCGGAGGGACCAAGATTACGGCATCACGGCCGGCTGGCAGTTCGTCTAACCGTTGGCCTAAGTTCAAAGCAGAGCGTCTTTACCTGCCTTATTATAGGATCTCTGCGTTATTTTGGCGCTATTTTGCTCGCCAAATTTCAGGCTACACGTTGCTTGAAATTTGATTTCCTTGCTAAGTTATTCGACGAGATGAGCCTTTGTGGTCATATTCGTTGTTTAATGTGTTTGCTACTTTTTTTTTGTAGTGTAATTTTTTTTGCGCATCTTCTCAGCACTTTTTTCGCTATAGGTTCCACCAAGTGTGTGTTTGTGTGTGTGTGAACCTGTAAAATTTTTTCTTGCGTGGCACGAGTAATCCTTGTAATAACTGCTGTTTGAGTAGAGACAAGTTTTATTTACGTATGATTAGTGCATTTTTTCCATCTGATGCGAAGCTGAGATTCACCTCTTTTAAGTAATACTTTTTTTCCTTACTTTTGTTTAGGGATAAGTTTATTTTAACTTTTTCACTGTTCGCAGATACATTGCACTTTTAAAATACTGGACTACTTTCAGTGGAGAAGCAATATACAGATATGTGGACTAAATCTGTGCCTTCATCGTTCACACGTCGTTTTCATCCGTGCTATATGCCTCGATTTCGGTGTCATTAGGAGAAACAAATCCCTCTTCTACGAAGGCTCCAGGTTGGGTGAACTTGGTCTTGCGTGCGTACGTGAAGGCCTTGATCTCTATGCAGTTCTCAAATCAATTTGATGGAAAGTCTTCAAGGAATACTTTAATTATCTGAAAGAGCAAGATTAATAGTTCATCTTTGTTTGTTATCCTTCGTTTTGTGCACCACCAAATTATGAGTTACTTGGAGTGTAAGGTCTTGTGGCTCCTTGACCGCAATTTCGATATGCCTTCTGCCATCTAATACTTTAACGAACCTCAGAGGAGCTCTGTACGTAAGAATTGGCGGTAGAAAGCGAGTAGTTGGACGACCTCACCCCTCCTTTTTTCGCAGTCTTGTCGATATGTGGTTCAACGTCATCTAAAAAACTAAAAAGCAGATTACCGTCAAACAGCTGAAAGAACACCTAAACTCCGCAGTTTGAGAGAAAGAAAAATTAGCGAAAATGAACTTGCTGTAACACCAAAACGGAAAGTAGTAAAAGGGATCGGTTACAGGTACATCTCATTCTCATAACAATATTTTTGCTTTATTTGTTCACTTATATAAGACTGATCTTAACTCCATTATTTGTGAAGGCCTCTACAGTAATGTACACAAAACTTGCAGGGGTAGAAAAGTAAAGAAACGTTTTATTGCTTAAATCTCAAAACGTTTGTTTGGAAAAGTTTCTTGGAAAGGATCTACCAGTGTAAGCATGACACTAAGTGATTACTTAGGCAAAATTTTTATTAAAATTTTTATTTAGACAAAAATCTGATATGTAACAAATTAGGACAACAGGAAAACTTATCAAGATCCACACGTCCCAAGTGCCACAAACTTCACCTTATAAGGTCATTTCCTTATACTGCTGCATTAGCTCAGCAGATTTTGACTCGTTTCGTCTTGCAGAAGTTATGATATTGGAGAAAGAAACAAGGACAACGGCTATCATAATGAGATGGCTCACCACGTGTACAGGATTTGGTTTAAAAAGTCATTAGGAATCTAAACGAAAACGAGTCACAGCCGGAACAAAGTCGTCTTTCTCATACACAGCGCTCCGCATCACTTAAAACGAATGGAACATATACCAGTAACACATAAGGCGAAGAAGTGATGCAGCAGGTTCTTCAACGAAACTCCGTCTACTTCGATCCTGACTAAGATAATTCTGAAGAGCTGGAGGCAATTAGGCAGTACGCTACAGGGCAGGGGCACATTTACGAGAGGTAAACTGTTGATTAAGTAACTCAAAAAAGGGAAGTCGAAGTGCTGACTACTTTCACTGCAACGAAGAGTAAATCGGTAAAGACTAGACTGCCCTGAAAGCGAAGTTTTTGGCCGGCATGGTCACTCATAAGAACCTGCAGTTATCTCCATTCTCTGGGTCCTTACAGTTTTTACCTCGTTTGAAAACCTGTCCAATCAGATTCATAAAGGTGGTAAAATGTTTATGTGAACAAATTGCGTTAAAAATGCAATAGAAACGAAAACTTGAAATGTTTTTCCCAAACAACCTATATTTTAAACTTCTAAAGAAAATTTGTTTTATAATGGCAAAATTTTCTTGTAAAATATTAAAATAAGTGGTATTTTTACGGTTTCACGGGTGAGACTAAACTCTAAAAAACCTTTACGCGCCATTTTACCATTTCTGCAACTGGCAACTTTCTTGTTCCAAATTATGTAATGTTGTATCAAAAAGTACTTCAGCTCGGGTAGTTCGGTGGTTAGTATTTAATTAAAAATTTTTTGCAGTTTTTCTTTTTCCTAACGGCTAGCAGTTCCTGTCAAACACAAATAACTTAGCTGATTACTATAACTTACTGGTTCGATAAGGCTAAAGCAACATTTCTTTTATTTGGAAAATCTGACGTTTTGAAAAAGTTTTCAACGACTTCGTCATCATCACTTGAGACCAGAAAATCTTTTACACACAAACTTCCCAGCTAATAAAATGACTCATTCACGTTTAACGCTGAGAGCATGCTACTACTTCTTGTACTGGAGTGTAGTTATCTTTCTTGCTTTCCCTTACGCGTCAATACTCGCCCCAGTTTGATCAAAATCAAGTGAAAACTTTCTACTTTTTTTTTCCAAATATAAAGCAGTAAGGTTCCTGCAATAATCTAAGTCAACCAGTAATGCTGAGATGGTGGAACAGTGGAACCGGACAGCATCTTACTTCCTCGCAAGGTTTTGTTTATAAATTTGCAATCAGGTTATTACTGTTACTGCTCCAAAATTTTTGCTTTTTTTCTTTCGGGAAGTAGAGCACCACTTCTGCTTTTGATGGTCGGTGGTCAACAAAAGAACGAACTTCAAACGTGTGTACACTTTAATGACGTCTCCATTCAACATAAAATTATTCAATTCTCCATTCAATTTTTCAATAAAAAAGGAAAGTTGATATGACGAGCCTTAAACTGGAATGTATCACAGCTGTAGTAAACATACAGTCGTGTTTTGTTTTTTATTGTTTTATTTCATTACGTAACATCCCGGTCGGTATAAGAATAAGCAAATTGTGGCCTGCATACTAAGAGTTTTGAAAAATTTGGCATCAATTGTCAAGACAGCTGCAACAAAAATAGTCCATTCTAAGTTCAGTCTTTACTGTAGTTAGAGAAACTGGTCCAATCAACGCTGGAAAAATCTATCGTTGACGTCAACTAAGAAAGAGAAGAAAAGGTGGTATATAGATACGATACAGGGGACACATTTGAGGGCACTTAATAAAACAAATGATAAATTAAAAATCGCTTAAGAATTTAGCTGGATGACTGGATACTGAGGTGCCTGGCTTGATACAATAATTTGCAGTTGCCCAAAGACACAAAATGCCCTATTCTTTTACGTCATCGAGGGGACCTAGCTATGCTAGTAAAGGAAAACGCATATGTTAGAATAAAGCACATAGTGATCCGGATGACACTCCGCGAAACTTGGCAAAAGTGGTGGATCACGAAATCCGCATAGTGGTCAGAAAGCATATTGGAAGATACCATATTTGCTAGAGATGGCAAGGAAGTCCTTTTTGTTTATCCAAAATGTCAGTTTCCAAAATTAAAAAACTAAAGAACTAGAATGTAACTGTTATTGATTATTTCGCCCCAGCTGCGCTCACTGATAGACGACATGGAATCCACTGTTAAACGGTAGCTATGCTTATGTGTATTTGTCGTAACGCGTAATATATATACATCTAGAACTGGTAAATGATTACTGCAAAAGGATTTCTGAACTATTTGAAAAATTCCATCTCTAGAAGAGGCTGAACTACAGCCAGTTTCAAATAATGTTATGCAATCCAAAGCTACTGACAAGGTGTTCGCATACTTCTGGAATAAGCTTGTAGCGAGTGAAGGAGTAAACACCTATTATTCCGAAAAAGGGCATGTTTGAAAATACATTATAGGACATGCTCCATAACAGGAAGGTCATTATAAGAGACTAAAAGAAATCATAAAATCATAGTTACGTAAAACAATTTTGAAACGACTGTTAGGTGTGGAAGGTTTTCAAACTTTGTTGTGAAAGATTGAGGCGGTTGTAAATACAGATCTGTATATGTATCTGTGCGATGAATTGAGTAGTGAGTACCATGGTTACGTCCAACTGATTTGCTATTCCGGAAGCATTACGCGTCATGAATCCAATAGAAACCTTCACATATGACCTCCAAATATGTACCACCACAAGTTGAGAATATATCTGTAACCCTCCAGAAAACTAAGCTAGTTCTTCTTGATAAATATTGGAATCTATTTCCAAAGCAAATACTTATTAGCACTTTGAGAAAGATATAGTCAGATCCATAAGAAACCCCAAACAACGGACAAATTCTTACCAAATTTAGACGATATGATAACTGTCAAAGAATTAGGCTCAAGGACGGGAGAATAGGAGCTAGAAATAGTTAGTTTATAGAAGGGAAATGGACATATACGATCTGCTAGACCGACAGTTCCGACAAATAACTTAATCGACTGAGTTTTAAATATATTACGTCTCCTTAAAAGTCCCACTTTAACATTTTCCAATCATCTGCAGCAGTTACTAGATTTTCAAAAAGCACCACAGTTAAAATGAACGAAAAACCGTAATGTGGCGGTAGTCCCATCAGGGGGCTAGTGGGACGTTCTCGGTGAAATTACAAACTGAAATCACCTACCTGTGGTTTTTTTTAGTGACCAAGCGTGATTCTTGACAGTTCTTCTCTTTAATCATCTTACATAATAATCACCAGAAACTTTAAAAGTAGAACTCTCAAAAAAAGAACGACTGACTTAAGGAAAGAACTGTTTCCAGTGCGCTCATGATATACACCGCTTCTCGTTCTCTCATCTCCTCTGCTTGTATAATCAGGCAGGTGGCGACGACCAACTGTTCACCTTCCCCAGGCTTCCGCCTGTCGGGAGACCAGTGATCACAACCACGTGCTCATGGTGGCCAAAACTGGCGTAGCAATTCAACAAACTTTCGGGTTTCGACATCCTTGTTTTATGGTTCATCGATACTTAGCTGTGAGCCAAGCCCAGAATCAATGTCTTCGACATATTTTGTTATGAAAACACTCCATTTTATAATCATGTCCCTCTTCAAAACTAAAACGCTGTACCTGTCCCAGCAGACACAAACTTCTCATCGTCAGAGCTCCAAGCCATAGCTTGGAGATGAGACACTCCCTACCTGTGATCTTTCCAGAAGTGACGACGCGCTACCGTACTTACGTCACTTTACTGTTATCGCTCTTGCACTGTTGTTCTCGCTGCAGCTCTTAACCACTACTGTTTGCGGTGTCCGCTTGATTACCAGACTGCTACGACCAATATACCCACCATCCTCTGTCCTGTCGCTTTACTAAATGCTGTCATTTGTTAGCCAACCACTAAGGAAGAATGAGCTAAGCGACTAGGTTGGTTTACTTATTTTCAAAATTGCCCAAGACTTTAATAAACACTTTATTAAGCGTTTAGCCACACACAGCACTCCAAAGAATGACCAGCATGATAGAAGCCAACACATGCGGCAAAACGTATGTGACCCCCCAAAACAGTGCAGCATGAATTTTAAAAACAATAGATACATCCACAACATGGCCCGAAACACATGCTAGCTGTGATTACAACCAAAGAATGAAAGCCATTTCAGGCTGTAAACCTCCAAAAATCACGTTCAAAACCTTCCGCGCAATGTTTTAGCAGTACTGCACGACGCTGTTCAACATAGCGAAATTTGTCCTGCACCTATAATTGACATCGGCTTAATCCCAAAAAAAATTTGATTTTCATAAAGGAATCCCAAGTAAACGAAAGGCAAGGTAATGTCTGGGTTATAACAAAAATAGTAAAGATAACAAAGAAACGTTTTTACAGCCGTTGTACTGCTTAATATTAACGGAGAAATATAACACAGCAAAACCTTGAGGTTTTAGAAATCTATAACTGACTCAGTAAAGGTGAGTGGTAACTGATTAAGAAAGTTACACAACTTGCATGCTTCGCTGTAGCACAAATATCGAAATAACTTTTATGGATACACAATATTCACTTAGCAACTTATTTTCACAAAGATTAGAAGCTAAAAAATATTTCAGATTAATAGAATGGTGACTAAAAAATATAAAAATCGAACAAATGAAACCAACTTTCTGCTTTAGAGAAACAAGGTTCTCATTAACCAGGTCGCGTTCTAAAAACTCGGACAGCTGCTCTGTGGCATGTTCCAAATCGCGTTGATTATCTTCAAAAATTTCTGACTGATTATCCTTTTGCAAGTAAAATGCAAATGCATAAGTGTACATTAGGGTACGACGGCATTCAGATAAAACATCTACGGCCTTGCGCAGAAATTGAACCTCAATCCAGGACATGTTTGCTTGCTGCATCTGTTCCATCTTCGTTTTTGCAGTTGCATACAACTGAAATGTATTTCAGTCCCGTAAAATAACTGGGCAAAAGTCAAAACTGTCTTAAAAAGCGAATTCATTGAGAAACCAATATTACTGCTGTCAAACTAGTGTGCACAGTTTGAAATTATGCGATCAGCAATACTAAACTGATCTGCAAAATTACGTGAAAAAGACATATAGAAGAAGTTACCCAAAATTATTCCAGAAAACCCTCACTAAAAGAAAAGATTTTCAAAATAACAAAGAAGCGATTAAAATTTGGGTTTTTGTTTTTGCTAATTTAAAAAACAGCAAGCCAGAATATGATAAGTCCTCGTAAATAAACAGTTTTTCAAAAATTTTCGACTGAGACTCAGTAATGGAAAAGTGGAGAAAGCAAGCGAGCTACAAGGAAACCTTATTTTCCAACTTTAAGCTTTGTTGATGATTCATGAAACGATTGTAGTAATGAAGGTATCGTTGCAAAGCAGCGCGACTCCTCTCTTGGGCATCCCGAGCTTGCTTTGCAAGCGTGTCATCATAACGATTACATGAATACCAAGAGCTACCGTGAGGTTCCCAAGGGCCTAGACACATCCAACAAAATTCCATTTTACATGCTGCGTTCTTGCACGTCATGTGGTTACACCCACCATCTTTCTCAATTGTTACCTGCAAATATAAATGACAATATTTCCGAGGAAAATATTAAACAGTCGTTCTTCTCTCCTAGTGTTCTTGATAAGAATTAATCGGCAGAGTGAAATCTTCAAAATCCCTCCCATAAGCATAAAGTGACAGTGAACAGGCATTTGTATTGTAACGAAACCCTACGGAAATTTAGGATTGACAAAAAGGAACAAAATAATCACATGTTAAAAAGGTTACTTAATGTTCATCCACTACAACCTTCCGCAATCCAACGTGAAGGAAGTGTTGCAAAAAAGACTTGGAATTGAAATCAATGTCGAAGAAATGAAAATCCCAATTATGATGAAAGCGTGCAAAAACCATCCTTGTCCTTATAAGATTTATACTGTTAAGCTAAGTAAACAAAAAAAAAAAAGGTACAAAGTTTATATTACAGCTTACCTGACACTTCGGGCATTCTTTGGTATTGGCCGAAATCCAGTTACTTGTTTCACTATCATCGCTGCACTTCTTGAGCCACAACTTTAACAACTTACAGTTAACTGGTTCATGCCATTCATGCCCACATAAAAAGCAAAAAACCATACTGCAAGTACACCGTACTCGCAGAGCCTCCGCCTGTTGAACCATTACAACACGGCCACAGTCTGCTGCTGGGCACCAGCGAAGTAACTGATGACACTGCAAGGAAAATACGTAAAAAGAAAACAAAAAAATGGATCCCTTGTTCTGAAAAACGAGTTTCGCGACAACAAAGTTTTAGCTGTACGGAATCAAGAAAACCTCAACAAAACTATTGATCATTAAATGACGATAACGACTTCTAACAACATCAGATCTAATCAAGGACAACGCCCGTTCATCATCCACAATAATTGGACAATTATGCTCTGGACAAGCAACATGCGGACGCCCCTCTTCCATAATCTACAACAGAAAAAAATTTTCATTAATTGTAAGCACACGCAGGAGAAAGCGTATTTCTTTAATATAAACACTAACAGAAGCGGAGTTAAATGAGTCTTTCAAAATAAAAATCAATAAAAACTTTCCCTGTGCATTTTGATGAAATTTCACTGCAAAACTCGTCACACTCTGCTAGTACAGATACTGAAGTTGACTTTAAGAACGGAGGACAAAAGAATCAGCTTTATATCATTTAAGAAAAACAAATTTCGCTAAAGATTTCAAAATCTGATTTCAGTTCAAAATCCCGTACAATCAGCTCAGATCCTCAAACATATTTTCTAATCGGGTCCCTTTCATGCTTGTAACTCTCCTCGTCCATTTTATTAGTTCTCACAGTAATGTTATATGTTTTGCTTCTGCGCTTTTGTACTAAAATCTATTACATTGTATTTGAGCCTGACTGGTTAATGCTGGAAACAAGTTCCTCGTACCTGTTTCGTACTAATTTCTCTCAGACAGCAAACAGAAGCACTGCCAAAGGCTAAAATTCCCTAAAAAATCCCTATTTTGAGCAACCTACAATCAAATTTGTGCTCTAGTAGTACTTCAGTATCTCTTTTTCTAAAGTACTTTTCTATAAAACAACTTCAAGATAATTTTTAATTGCTAGAATCTTCAAAATCGTCTCCTCCAGTTCCAAAAGGGAATGCAACGCAACTCAACTGTAAAAGAACGTGGTTTAACTGTCAAGTGGCCTACAATGAGGGTAAATTGGTAAGTCTCCGAACGAGATAACACGAGCAAAATATTGAATTGACTTGTGTGATTAGTGGAAAAGAAAAAAGTTTTTAAAAAAGCAGAAAACTGAATGACGTCCTGTAAATTTATTTAGTGGAGTCTTCTTGAGATCAACTGAATATAGGTTCTTTCAAAAGAATGGTGAAGTGGCCGCGTCTAGAAAAAAATGAACGATAATTCTGCAGTTTGCTGTCATCCCTTAAAATGAAAATCACCCTTCGATTCCAGATATATGAATAAAGCCGATCATATACTTTATGTTCTGCACTGATTTAATCTCTATACGAGCAGACAAGCCGCACTGAAATTCAACTTCAAAATGCTTTAACTTTCGCCCCATACGTACTCAGATCTTCTTCTATGTAGGCCTATACTAGTAGATACCAAAAAAAATTAAAAGCATTTCAAACTCGACTGTTTCAGTATACAAGAAAATCTAGAACACCTCAAATTTGATAAAGCGACTTAATCGCCGTTTGGAAAATACGACAAGGACACAACTTCAGTATGTATAAGAGTCACATATAACTCAAAAATCACAAAAATTATTTCCATGTTTTGCTCAGTCACAGCAGAAAATAAAATTTTAAATCAATCATAATGCATCTGAAAAACCAGACCTTAGTTGTGAGGTACGCATCCCAACAAGATAAACAAAACTTATGGTTGCATAATAAACCGGTCAAAAGGGCGCTGTTGTAACAGATCTCGCATGTGCCAAACCTGTCAGTTCTGTTTTCCGAAAAGCGAGGAAACACCTTAAACGGTGAAACAATATTTGCATCAGAGAAAAAAGTATTTGGATCAGCGGCCTCATAAAACCTGAAACACAAGGTCGATCCAAATTATTCTGATCAGTTGCAGAGAAACATTACAACTAACATTCAAGGCCAACGACAACTTTGCAATAGATGTTTGTTAACTTCCAAAAAAAGCCACAGAAAAGGCAAAATGATGAACAGAAACCAATAAAACTGTTAGCAACAAAGAAGCGTTAAGGCTACAGGAAGTAAAACGGTGTGTACACATCTAAATCTGTGATATTCAGAACTAATATCACTTAGATAATGTGCCCCAATGGCTGAACAGTATATGCTATAATTTTTCAATGTTAAAAAATCCTTGGTAATAAATCACAGTAAAATATCTGCAAGCAGTAACTGCTGAATATAATACTTCAAAAAGTTTATCCTAAAGAACGAAATAAAAATCTTCATAACCAGTTCATTCATTTGAAACTAAACAGCACCAAAACCAACGGTTAATTCTTCCTTACCTTTTCAGACAAGAATTCTAATAAAATCTGATTAATTCTACTCTTTAAAATCTCGTCTCTTCCTTAAAAATACCCTACCATTGCATTCAAATCACGCTGTCAATACTCATCAAAATGACTTGAAAGATTCATCTTAGCTTCCCATCCTGCCTCAACCCAGCCCCAAGAAAGCGATATAGTATCCCCGAATCCCGTTCTAAGTTATTGAAACCCGACTTTCATTCTGATGCAAAACAATTCGAAAAGTGTAACATATTCATGCCAGCAAACAGTTAGAACCTGAGCGTGATAAATGAAACTGAAATAGCATCAAGGATAAAATCTACGACAAGTTAATTCGCTAAAAACACACCTTTCTAGTAAACTTTCTTTATTCCACTTATAATGATGAAGCAAAAGACGGCATACGGTTGTTGGTAAATCGACAATTTCTGCAACTTCCTCAATTGTTCTGTTCATAAGGTGTATGACACTCTCGGCATCAAGTATCTTAAGAAATAAGCACTCTATAATCTAAAATCATAAGAATTCAAAGTCTAGGAGTAAACCCCCCAAAAAGCACAAAAAGTTTAAAAATCCTATAAATAATAAAATATGGCTTGAACAGCACTTGCAAATTACATATACGCATGTTGTATCAAAAAAAAGTATCTGCATACGTCCATATGAGGGTCAACCAACAGTTTTCTTCTACTTTCTTATCAGCCTAATCAGGGAAGACTTAATACAAGCGTTAAAAAAAATTGAAACAGCTTAGTCTACTAAGGCGGTATTCGTTCATGAAATGATGGGTGAGAATAATTAAAGCACACGCAAAGTTTCTTATGCGGCGGTGCCTTCACAAAAACCACTCTGGCTCAAAGTAACAAGGAAGAACAACATTAAAAAAATTTTTTAAGTGGAACAATCCCTTCCTAAGCATTAGAAGACGAAACAAAAACCTATGCCAAAGTTTTACCTGGTAATCAGAATGTTCCGCCTCATCGATATGTAAGACTTGAGGATGTAAAACAATACCATCGTCGTCAGAATAAACTGAGGAGCTATCAGAATCTACACCAGAGAAAGCGCCATCATCATCCATAATACAAAAGAAATTAATCCGTTTGATAATTTCAGCCGTCTGAAAGCTCATCTTTGAATAAGAACTTGACAAAACGACAATTTATACAAATCTGATGAAAAAGAGGACGATCAAGGACAACAGCTAGCAAAAACGACGAAAATACACAAACTTGAGAGATGATAAAGAAAGAGTTGCACTCGGGACTGTATTATCGATAACTTTCGCTACTTTTGTCATAAAAACTGTTACTGCCATCATCCAAGTTAAACTTTCTTACCACCATTATTACCAGTACTGTTATTACTAATAGTACTGCTCAGTTGCACCACTGACACCACAGGTACTACCACCGATACTATTACTTTCGCTTCTAACGCTAATGGCAATAATAT